AATTATGAAAGGCAGGAAATTAACATGGACACATTATCTAATTCAAAGACCTTATTCAAATCCCACCAACTGTCCCAGTAATATATTTTTTCTGGTTCAGGGGCCAATCCACAGTTACACGATTCATTTACTTTTATGTATTATTAGTGCCTTTTATTTTGGAACAGTTTTTTTAGTTTTTGTCTTTCATGACCTTGGCACTTAAAGGTAAAAAATTAAGGACACATTTTGTAGGATGAGGTTTAATGTGGATTCCCTTGATAATTTCCTCATGATTAAATTCAGGTTATGTGTCCGACCGGGCGTGGCTCAGCAGTTGAGCATCGACCTATGATCCAGGAGGTCACGGTTCGATTCCCAGTTGGGGCACATGCCCGGGTTGCGGGCTCGATCCCCAACCTGGGGTGTGCAGGAGGCAGCCCATCAATGACTCTCTCTCATCACTGATGTTTCTATCTCTCTCTCTCCCTCTCCTTCTCCCTTCCTCTCTCTGAAATCAATAAAGACCTGCCCTGCTGGGCGTGGCTCAGCGGTTGAGCGTGGACCTAGGATCCAGGAGATCTAGGTTCGATTCACGGTCAGGGCACATGCCCAGGTTGAGGGCTTGATGTCCAATGACTCTCTCATTATTGGTGTTTCTTTCTATCTCTCCTTCTCCTTTCTTCTCTCTGAAATCAATAAAAATATATTTTTTAAAAAAGAAATCAATAAAGACATACTTAAAAAAAAAGTTTCAGGTTATGCCATTTTAGTAAGAATCCTGCAGAAGGATGTGTCCTCAGTGTGTCATATAAGGTGCATATGATATGAATTTTCCCATCACTGGTGACATTTACTTTGATCATTTGATTAAGGTGCTGTCTGCCAAGTTCCTTAAATGTGAAGTGACTGTTTTTCCCTTTGTAATTAATAAATATCTTGAGGGAGACTGCATAAACACCCAATTTTTCATTATACTTTTGCCCACTAAGTTGACCATCTGTTGGTGACTTTTGCCTGAAGCAGTTATTACTGTGCTGCTTGACAAAGGGCGATGATCTAATTCCATCATCCCCTCACTGCTGTTAGTTGGAATTCTGTGAGGAAGTGCTTTTCCTCACCCCTCATTCATTTATTCATTCATTTAAGAATTTTATATCAGTATGGACTCTTGGATGCTTTTTTCATTCTGTGAATAATAATTCATTAATATTATTACTTATTTGTTGTTTAAACGATCCCAGTATTGGCTTTTGGGAGCCCTTTCATGTTGGCTCCTGTCCTTTCAATATGTCCCATCAGTTTTTGAACGTGTACTTGATTTTTGGCACCACAATAGTCTGGGATCATTTTGTGCTCTGGTACAACCCTGAAATAAACTACTTCTCCAAGGAGCCTGGTCAGAGATGAACGCTTTATTTTTTATTTTTAAATATATATCTTTATTGATTTCAGAGAGAGGAAGGGAGAGGGAAAGGGAGATAGAAACATCAAAGACGAGAGAGTCATTGATCGGCTGCCTCCTGCACGCCCCCTGCTGGGGATCAAGCCTGCAACCCGGGCATGTGCCCTGACTGGGAATCGAACCGCTGTCTCCTGGATCCTAGGTCAGTGCTCAACAGCTGAGCCACGCGAGCCGGGCAGAGAAGAACACTGTAGACATCATTCAAAACTTTTGAAATGGCCCAGAGAAGCTGAAAACCTTCAGGTGTTATGGAGGTGTTTGCTATCCTGTGTACCAACAAAGTCGTCAGTACAAGTTTTTTAATTGTCACTCAGTATGGCTGGGTCTACACAAATAGTAGTAATGCAGTAAAAATATAAAATAGTTTAACCTTTGTCATACCAGGAAAAATAGTCATCACATTTACCAGTTAGATCCAATGGACTCTTTATTTTTTAAATTTTTAAGTTATTTTAGGAAAAATTTCTAGAATAAACAGCGAAACCAACAAAATAAAAATTTAAACATTTTCTTCTATATTTTTCTGGTGTTGGAGGTATATGTACCTGAAATAGGCAATGGCCTTTGAGTGCACTGATGTGTTTATCAGCTTTCATGTATGAAATGGAATATATCCTGTCATCAATATTGACTCCAGATTTTATATACATTTCCAGTAGGTTATAGCTTATTATTTCTGTGTGTTTTTTTCTTACATGTGCATGATCACAATGTAAAATTATTGAAAAGTTTGAAGGCTCATAATTTAATAAAAAAGATGATGGCTATCTTTCTGTTCCATAATTACAAAAACATTTTTATTTTTTATTTTTAAAACCATAAATTAGATTGACCAATCCAGTGAACTTTTTTACTTTTACATCATACCTGCCCTTCCAGTCACCTTTGTATATACCCCTACCTTCAGAGTTTGTCCATTTCTGAATCATAGCAAGTAAATTTTTATCCACACATATCATAAAAGATAAAATAGTTGTCACATGTCCTTTTATCAAAACAAGATGGTCCAGATTCTTGTTGCAAAAATAATAAGTCCTTCCTAATGAATGACTGGTTAAAATAACATATTTCCTGTTTGTGTTTATAAATTGCTTGCTCTTTGATTTTTCATTTTGAGAAAGCTTATTTGTTTATTCTAAAGACTCATAGTTCAAGATTTTGCTCATTCAGTCAATTTCCCCCTCATCAGTAGAGTCTCTAGTGTTCTCTCTCTCTGCCTTCATCTTTTGACTCATCTAACAACTGTGAAATGTCTTTGTTAATTTTCTTCTCTTTCCCATTATGGACAGAAATGGAAAATTCTGAATTCTTAACTGTGTTCAGTGAAAGCTAAAAAGACACCAAAGATGGTGTCTCTGGACTTTTTGTATACCCTTTTGAAAGATAATGCATTACTTTAGCCAACACAATAAGAAAATCGAAGGATGATGAAATAGTTGTGATGTGTTTACTTATTCATTTTTAGGTAGTTTTGTCATATTTTTGTTTCCTTACTGTTTTAGGATTTTTTTAAGCATAGTTGGAAATAATTGATGAGTGATGATGAAATAGTGTCTAGAATGATGAAATAGTAAAATGTTTCAAGGTATAGGAAAAGATCCCATAATGTATCAGGTTTATAAAATGATCAATGGACCTAAATGATAATAGTAAGAGAATGAATTTTATTCTATTAAAAATAAGTAATTATTTTTTTTGATCTTTGGAAGGACCTTTAAGGAACAATAAAAGTCATGAAATATCAGTCGTAACAAATAGTTAGAAATGCTCAACAAAGAAGCTTAAAAACTAAAATTAGATAGTGATGATATTCCAAAGATTAAGAAGTGGGTAAATAGTGGATAAAAGGAATAAGGAATATTGGCAAGACCCCTTGTTCCTTAAATCTGATAATACTCTAGATGTGCATCCTTAGTGAAACTAACCTCTTAATTTTTTTTGTTACCTTAAAGATCATATGTTGTTTCAAAGAAATATGCAGATGTGATGAACTGTGAACTGTTAAGAAATTTGTTAAATGGAGTGAAAAGAGAACTAGACCAGGAGTCCAAGAACTATAGCTCTAATTTAGGCTTAGACATTAACTAACTAGTGTTTTTTGGGGCTGAGCAATCCTGGACACCATAGTTTAATGAAAAGAGCAACAGACTTTGAACCCGAGCCACTATGAGAACCTCTTCTTAGGACTCTTAACTTCCCAGCCTCTCAGTTGTCTCATTTTGTATAGAGATAATGAAATCCTGCTGTTAGGCCGTTGTGAGTATTTAATGAACTACTAGAGACGGTAAGATGCTGCCTGGAAGGCTGGAACTCTTAATATTCATTGAATAAATGAATACATTATGTTAAGCATGTTTATAAATTTTATATTAAAAATTATAAAATGTATGAAATTACAAGGTCATTGTGTTTGTGCTTAATACATTTGTATTAAGTGCTATACGGATTTAAGGTTATTTTTTTCCTTTTATCTTAGAAAGCCTTCAGGAAAAGATAACTCTTTCAACACAAGCTCATTATTTTATCAAAGACAGGAAAAAGCAAAGCTTTGGAATAATCTAGAACTTAATATTTAAAATTGTAGCTGTATACTCAAGTAGTCTCATCTATGATTATTAAAAATGGCAGGCAATAACAGGTCAGCTTATCACTGACTGACTCATAAGTTCAGAAATGTTCACTGTCATGCCACAAATGTTAGAGTAAAATATTTCTGGATATTCTTTGAGCTTTCATAGTCCCAAATATTAGTTTGGGTTTCTTTCTTAATTTCAATAAAAAAATTTTAAATTTCTTTGCCTATATTTTCCCTTTTAACTCATGTCTTACAGAAGTTGACTCAAGTAATTTCTTCAACCATTAGTCTCTTTGCCATTTTAATAAAATCTTCATTTTTTATATAAGGAAACCAAGGCTCTCAAGAAAGCCTGGAGAGACCTTTTCAAAAGTTATAGACCTTTTCCCCATCTAGCCTACCAAGCAAAGAGAAAGAAATCTCAGTTGGATTTGTAACTTGTAACTTGTTTGATTCACTAGTCAGTTTGGTCAGAGTCACTGCCCAGTTCAGGATATGGCTGTAAACTAAGTAAATATTTATTTTAGCACCTTCAAGTTTCCCTGTGAAGACACTTATGCCTCTGACAGAGAAACTGGCATCTAGGGTTTGACCACTGTCAGTTTAATCCATGATTCACTCCTTCTGTGTATTGGCCAGAGCTTGGACCATCCATCAGCAAATACTTTCTCAGCCTCAGGGTTTGTTTCGTATGTTTATGAGACCCTGTCCTTTCATTCTTGTTTGATTCTCTCACTGGCTGACATGTTCACTATATTTAACCTTTGGATGAGATTGAGGTAAAAAATATCGTAGAGGAAATTCCTAAATTGGGGAGAAGCTGGACTGCATACTGTTGAAGGGTCCCTTCCAGCTCTTCAGATCCGTGTGGCAGCGAGCGTACAGGACAAGCACGGTTGCCGCGCTGCTGCCGTTGGCTCGCCTTCGCGCGGCTCCCGGCCGGCTGTCTCACCTGTGCCGTTCTGCCGTCTGCTCCCTTAGATCTTCATTAACAACGAGTGGCAGAACTCGGAGAGCGGCAGAGTGTTCCCTGTCTATAACCCGGCCACGGGAGAGCAGGTGTGTGAAGTTCAAGAAGCAGACAAGGTATGTCCTCAGAACACAGGCTCCCTGTGCAGCTCCTTCCCAGACACCACCGCTGACATTCACCCGTCACTTCTGTCACGAGCGCAGAGGGCCTGCTGCCTGGCGAGCGTGTCGCGTCAGCTGTGCTCCCTCTCGCAGGTGGACATAGACAAGGCGGTGCGGGCCGCGCGCCTCGCCTTCTCCCTCGGCTCCGTGTGGCGGCGGATGGACGCGTCCGAGAGGGGGCGGCTGCTGGGCAAGCTCGCGGACCTGGTGGAGCGGGACAGGGCGCCTCTGGCGGTAAGTAGCCCAGGAAGCCGTTGTCTTTACCCCACATTTGCCTCCCACTGAAATTTAGGTTCCTCTCTCTTGCTGAAAATATGATGCGAAGCCTCCCCGGGGAAGAAGCCAAGGGGCACATGATGCACAGAAAAACCCAGAGCTGTCTGGCTTCTGCCGTCGGGTTGGGGAAGTAAGTGCAGGACCAGCGAGTGTCCCTCTCTAGTGAATTTTGAAGAACAAAACCTCAGCTTCCCGTGACTGGTAAGGACCTTCCTGCGGCCCTCCTGCCCTGGACAGACACAGCAAAACAATGCAGTTCAGCAGCCGGAGCGTGACCGTGCTGCTCGCAGAAAACCGATACCAAGTGAGTCATCGAAGAATCAAAAATGACAGTTCTTGCCTCCCCGGAGTTCACCCCTGTTGACTAGGGCGCGTCCTTCAGAGGCCCAGGGCGCGATGCGGTCTTCTCGTGCATTCTGCTCACTTTTTTCTGTCACTTTCAGCAACTTTCTTTCACTAAAACAACCTTTTTCTTACATAAGGAACTTCCCTCTTAATGTTATTTGTTGTTGCTGCTGTTTTTAAAGTAAAAGTCATTTTGTTAGAGAATTAAGGAGTGTCTGTTCGGTACACAGGGGATCTCCACGTGGATGACCCACAATTGATCAATTAACATTTAGGGCGTCTTTGCTCAGTCAGGGCATTCAGACCATGAGTACTATACCGTGCTGTCTACTTGGGCGACAGGTCACCTTGGGGCCTGCTTTGGGCGAGGCAGGCATCGGTTCCCTTCTTCAGGGCCGCTTCTGCCACGGCTCCTCCCTCCCACCAGCCCCTCTCGGATCTGTTTCGAATATGGGAACAAAAATGAATCCTCATGGAGATGGTTGGAACTCTAGCTATATGTAACATTTATTTGTCTATAAAAACATTTCCTAATCTGGTACTTCAAGGAGGTGCTTATTCATGTTGTGAAAAGGGTGTTTCATGGTGAAATGGCTCCTCCTTGGATATTCACAAGACATTGGGCATATTAAAGACTCTGAAAAGCCCTACCCAATGTTTCTCAAACTTACATAAGCCTCAATACTATGTTTTTGGCCACCCTATCAATATTGTGCAAAACGGAATTCTTTGGAATACCTTGGGAAACACTAGTCTGTGTGCCTGTCTCTTCACTGGATTATGATTTTTTTTTAGAGTGAAAATTGTATTTTACTTTTTTAAAAATCCCTAACACAGTTCTTGGCACATAAATGTTCAGTGGGAGGTACATGGATGGTCTATAGGGTCAGTTTGATTGAGTTAAAGATATACAATATTTACAACATTAGATTAACAATAGGTACTAGATGATGATATAGTTGATTTTTGCAGTTATATTTTCATGTCATAAAATTCAAATGCCATTCTTTTTCTGACATATGTCTCATTGGGATGACACCTAAATGGCATTTCTACTTTTAAATACTACCATGACAGGAGTGAGTGTTAACAAAGGGTAGCCTCTAGAATATAGGAGACCTCCTGACAGAAAACTGAAGTTAATGATGTATCCAAGTAAACACAATTGAAAATAAACCTAGAGCTGGCAGCTCTCAAAAAATTTGGCTGGTGTCAGTAGCTCATAGGGACCATTTAGGTGGTCCAGATTTTCATTAGTGACTCTGTTCCACCCTATGCAGTGTAGATGGCTTTATGCTAGACATGGAGAATGCAATGCTCATCTCATGAACATATAAACATTCTAAAAAGTACTGGGAAATAATTTGATTTCCTTTAATAAAGGTGATAAGTAACATAACATTTTATTTTATTTTTTTATTGAGGTGACATTGGTTAATAAGATCATGTAGGTTTCAAGTGTATAATTCTGTGATTATGATCTGTGTATTGTATTGTGTGCCCACCACCCAAAGTCAGATTATCTTCCCTCACCATATATTTGACTCCCTTCACCAATCCCCACTCCCTTCCTTCTGGTAACCACCATACTATTGTCTGCATCTATGAGTTTCAGTTTTATATCCCACATGTGAGTGAAATCATATGGCTCTTAACTTGAGAATATTATGCTAAGTGAAATAAGTCAAGTCAGAAAAAGCTAAGAAGCTAAGTAACATGATATTTTTTAAATGAATTTTATCGTATACATATAGTAAGTGGATAAATTGCACTGTAAAGAATAAATCGTATTTTTATGTCATTGAATGGAGACTATTTCAGTTTTAGTTTAGTCAGCACTCAGTGTTCACACCATTATGTGTTGTAAAATATCCTTATAGAGAAGAACATGAGATTGCAGATGTGCTTGTTCATTTTATTCACTTTGTAACATCTTTAATATTTCTCAAGTCAAAATACTCTTTTCTCATTTCAGTGTGTTCATTTGTAATTCTTTTGTTGCAGATTTAACCACTTTAGGAACATGTGATTATAATAATAACATTTATATTCTAAAACTGCTTAATATCTCTATTTTTATTAAATGGACCAGATACTTCACTCTCAATGTATAATGGTTGTTAACATAAATATTTACAAAAAATCAGCCCTCAAATAGTTAAAGTCTGAGCTTCCCTAGAGGAGATCTTGTTTATTTGGTGGCAATAAATAAACTCACTGTGCACCGTGGATATTCCATTTCTCAGCAGGGGTCTTGGCAGCTGTGGAAAACATTTTATATTCTCATCAGTTGCATAGAAGCCCATGTCCCTGCTCCTCTTTGGATTCAGATTACTAGTGTAGGCTCTGAATATCTCCCACCCCTTCCACACACACATGCACATGCACGCACATACACAGAGCTCTAATGACTAATATAAGAGAAGGGGGTTTGACAAACAGTATTTGTTTATCATGAGTTGAAAACTTGTGTTTATGGATTTGGATAGTGATTACTGGAAGTACATAGGTCCAAGAACATGCACATATATATGCATTGTGGTTTTTATTGGAAACTACACTAAACTGGCAGTACTAAAGTCCTTGTATTTGAGAAATCAGAGTTTACTAGGTATGCATCTCTGTTCATGTTCACCTGTGTCCTCTCGCCTTTACCTTCTGCTTCAGAAATTATTTAGCATATCACTGGAAAGTTCTCTTTTTTTTCTTCCAGACCATGGAATCCCTCAATGGTGGCAAACCATTCCTGCAGGCTTTTTATGTGGATTTGCAAGGAGTAATCAAAACCCTTCGGTATTACGCAGGCTGGGCTGATAAAATTCACGGGATGACCATTCCTGTAGGTACGTGAAATCTGAGTACGCTGAAAAAAGGAATCCTGAGGCTCCACTGGAATCCACTTTCACCACCAAACACAAACCGCAGTTACAGAGAATACAGATATGAGCACATTATAGCAGTCTGAATCAAACAAATTACATCACTCTGATAATGTCCCTATTGCTTTATGTAGACAGTTCACATATAAGTTCAGGGTCAAGCCACTTACATCAATACATCAACCAAGGAACAGGTAAGCGCTTGCCAGCTGCTGTGTGCTTAGCTCTGGGTTCAGGTAGGTTCCGGTGGTGTGGAGAGGCCTCGGGCGTGGGGAAGTCTGGGAAAGTTCTGAGACGAGTAAAGCAGTTCTTTCCCTCCTGAAACACGTTTGGAGGGAAAGAGTCCAAAATGTTAACAGTTGTTTTCTCTTGGTGGTGAGATTATGGATGACGTATTTCTTTTTTAAAAATATTTTTCTATATTGACTATGAATTACTTTCATGATCTATTAAAACAACAACCATCCCGACACCTTTTTATTTTTTTTTAAGCCATGAGGCTTGGCCTGTCTGTGCTGTATTCCTTTAAAGGAGAGGGAATGTGTCTGAACCGAGTTACTTGGTGGAAAGTTCCTGATCTGAGCATGAATACTAGCAATAGCGAATACCACGCTGAGTTCCTGCCCAGCACCCAAAGGGAAGGCACTATTATTAACCTCCTCATTGACAGAGGAGGAAACTGAGGGTTAGAAAAGTTAAATAGTTTTTCCAAATAACCCAGCAAATAAGTTGTAGAGCCGAAATTTTCACATTAGTGCCTGGTGATTCACGTCGCTAGAGGGTCCATTTTACATACTGGGAGGAAGAGATATGGTAACAGGAAAGGGACCCACCAAAAGAGCTATGTGGATATTGGGAGTGGCAAATAGACATAAAGAAAGAAAATACATGTTTATCGAGTGGCTCCTGGATGCTGCTGAGCACTAAGCCAGGTACTCTACCTGCATACTCCAGAAAACAGCCCATTTCCCTGTGCATACGAGGAAGAGCGAGAGGTAATGCTGGGAACCTGGGCAACAACCAAAACAGCAGGAAGAATTATGCTGTCGTTTCTCTCGTTCCCTCACATGTAGGAAGGCGGGCAGTCTACCATGTAATAAGAAGAGCTCTTCCTTCACCTCCTCTCCCAGGCACCAACTTCAGCCTCTAGTCGTTCACTCATGTCTTCAAATATATTAATCCATTTGACAGATTTTTTAGCACCTGCTATGTTTCAGGTCCTGTGTTAAGCATTGGGGCTACAAAGGTGAGTAAGTAAGATGCTCATAAAATAGTAAGGAAAACCAACGAGTAGATAAGCAATTGCAGTACAGTGTGGTTTATTGAGACATGGAAACAGGAAGTTCAGTGGAACTCCATGGGAGAGGCAATCTTAGCCAGTATTAAGGCTTCCTTGAGAAGGAGGTGAGCTATACAAGATGATACCTGAAGGGTAGGTAAGTGAAGGTGGAGATAGGGCCGTCACAGGTGGTGGCAATACCTGTGCAAAGCATGCGGGGAGGAGAGTACGATCTGAAAGTATAGCCAGATATTGAAGATGGGGAGCTCTGGGGCTGGGTAAACTGTGGTACATGTTTTATCCCATAGCAATTGTGAGACACTGAATTATTTTAAATAGATGAGTACCTTGATCAAAATTGCATTTTAGAGGGAGCACTTTGATTACACAGTGGGTAGTCAATTGGAGAGAGCAAGTATCTGCTCTCCCCCCTCCCCCTGCGGGGAAGCTCCCTCTGGAATACTTGGGAAGAGGAGAGGAGGGTATGGCACGACCACTTCTGAGCCATCCACTGGACAGCTGTTGCTCCTTCTGACTTGAGAGCTCCCCCCATTCCTCTCCATTGTATCCCATCAAGGCCCACAGTGGATGTTATCACAAAAGCACGCAGGTCCGGTTTGATTCACAAGGGTCTGGATGCGGTTCCCTTTACGCACTGTTCGTTGTTTCCTGCCATGGTACTTGGTGGAGCAATTGCTTCTGACCATAAATCCTATGCTCTGACCCTTCTATTATGACATCTTCTAATTATGATGATAAATAATAACCATTACTATAATTTATGGAACAGTTTCTCTGTGCTTATTGTATTATCTCTAATCTCATAGCAGTCCAGCAGGAAAATCCTCCCCCCCCATTTTGATTATTTTAAACCTATATTCTTTCATGTCCACAAACTCCTTATGATGGAGGAACGATCAAAGCTTGTTTGCAATTAATGGAGGGAGAAACGGAGGTTAATTGATTTGTATATGATTTTCCTCTTTAACTATCTAGTGTTGATTTTATTGATTTTGTGATATGGAAGCAGAGAAAATATAGTTCATGCTTTAAGCTGAATTCCTACATAAAAATGGCTTTGTGATATGTTAGCCTACAGAAAAGGTTAAAAACTACCCAGGTCGTGCGTAATTATTTACCCACTTCCATCTCCTTTCAGTTTTACCTGTTAAACTAGAGAATAAGTTAAAAAATAAATAAGAATAAGTTAGACATTGATTCAGATCCTAAGGTTTTGTCCTCAACAGCTAGATCTAGTTTCGTGCTGTCAACAAAGGACGCATATGGTGAAATCTTACTGTTCACTGAGAGTGAAGTGCGATTTGCTCTGCCCACCTAAGAAGAACCCAGGGTGGTTAGTGGGACCTGAATTGGTGGTGACAGGAGGTCATGAAGTCTGTTTCACGTGTAACCTCTTTGAGAGGTTCAAGGCTGCAAGACCTCAGGGATCCCTAAGGCCAATCTCCTCATTTTTCAGACAAAGAAACTGAGGTCCAGAGAAGTAATGTAAAGTCTCAGAGTTTGTATAGGTGTTTATAGTTTATCATTATAGCTGTAAAATGTTCACTGAGGTCTGTTCAGTGTCAGAATACATAGGAATCTGCCAGGGGACATAATGGAATAGTTCAGTGTGGCTGGTCTAATTGTTTAATACTGGAGTAATCTAAAGGGTCTCGAGCTCCTCGAAAGGTCATTCTGTACACAGATCAGAAGTTGGAAGATGGTCTCTCATTCACAGAATTGTGTTACAGATTTTTATGCTATAAATAAACTCATTTTTAGTGTGACCAGGTATATAAAATTAGCTGCAGTTCTTCAAATACTCTTAGTATTGTAATTGAGAGCTAGTTTTTGAGGTCTATTTTGGATGAATTTCTCTTCAATTTCTGGCACATTTCAGATTTTTCTGATATTTTTGACTGTACATATTGCCCAATTATACTGTAGTTTTTGTATAGATGTTACCAATGTCAGATATGCTTATGAAAATAAAAATTCTTTCAAAAATTTTTTTCAAGTAACTATAAAATCTGCTTTAAGAAGAATGTTCAACCTGAAGGAATAACCTAAATAATTCAATTGTTCTAGCTAACTAAATAATTGCTATCTCTCCTGTGTAACTTGAGGAGCCCCGTCAAAGAATATGGAACAGTGGCTTAGTTGTATTTCACAAATATAGCAGAAGCTTATTCTGTTACTCATTTCTAGGGAAAAAGATTTTTCTTAATGTAATTCTAGAAATGGCTCAATCTACATAATCAGTAAAATTTGATCCATAGTTCAGCCAGATTCATAGTATGATAAAGTATTTAATTGTAAGAAACTTATATTCCTCATGAGGTGTAAACACTCAGGTGTAAAGAGACATCAGAGAAGTTGCCTTTGAGTGTGTCTTAAACTCCTGTAAGAGCGGTATCTGTTACTTGATAATTTTTACTTTCTTGAGTGAAATTGGAAAGAGACTGAGAGATAAAAAGTTCTACATGTGATTTAGTATTTCTGTTTTGATATCTCATCTTTTCTTTAGTTTTCACCCTAGTTTATTATATTTTAACTTGTCCGCTCAGATTATGATATTCAGAACATTTTTTTGGTGTCCTTCTCAAGTGCAATCCTTCCATGCTGACTCTGAGCTTTCTCTGCCTCACATTTGGTAAGAAGACCAAAGATCATCTCAACTCCAGACGGAGTGTGAAGATTTTTTCCTGCATCTAGCTGATGTGCTTCATAGCACAAAGCTGGAGAAGTGAAGGGAACAATGTTTTAAGTTATCTGGCCACATTTGGGGAGCATTGTTAACATAAAAGATGGGAAAATTAGTGGTAATTTTTTTCTAGCAGAGTACTCATATATCATCTTAGGTGTAGAAGGGAGAGAGAGAAGTTAACACTCAGCCTTGTGCTCCCCCAGCTGAGGGAAGGGGATGTTGCTCTGCAGACCCTGGAGTTCTGTGAGCTCTCTGGGTCCGCATCCCGAATCCTCAGAATCCCCTTCACCTTTCACAAAAGGGTTGTCCTTCTACCCCATTTGTACTCCTTGTTGGCATAACACAGATTCTGTGGTTTGTGATACCCACCTAAATCCAACACCTTATTCGCGAAAGAGTCTTTAATATGTTTCTGAGGTTAATGAACTTGAAGTCTGATGGCCCAGATTCAAGTCCAGGAGCCACAACTTAACCGGTTATGTGACTCTGAACTTAACATATTGGTGCCATATTTTCTCTTTTTATACAATGCTGATAATAAGTTGCCTTGTTTTTTCTCCCATCAAGGTGTTTTGAGCATGAAATGAGATAAAAATGTGAAAATATTTTGTAAGGTCCTATAGAAATACATATGTTTGTTCTTATTTTGCTACATTAAAAGTATTAAAAACACTCATCAGATTTTCCTACACTTCAGATTCCTTTCAGGCAAATCAGTAGAGTTACCAGAGAGGCAAAAAATAAATAAATAGAAATGAAGTCAGCGTAAAGTGCCTGTAGTTCATCACGACACCTGTGGACTCCCCTTGACCCTCTTGGTTCCTTGACCCTCACTACTCGGAGTGTAATCTGTGGGTCAGAAGCGCCCGCTTCACCTGGGAGATTGTGGAAATGCAGAGTCTCAGGTCCCCCCTGACTTACCGATTCAGAGTCTGTACTTGTTACAACAAGACCTCCAGGGGCTCTGTGCACACATTTTTTGAGAAGCACAATATAGCATACCACCTGGCACGGGGAGCATGAAAGCTGACTCTACGCAATAAGGCAGTGAATGTTTTTTATTTTAATTATTAGGTCTGAAGAAGTCAGAAGAAAATATTGCTAGCTCATGAAACCTGTTTTATAGATTTTCTTTAAGGTGAAGCTAGTAAGTAGCTATGTACATATTTTTAAAAGATTAGCTGACACCTGGGCGGGCATGGCTCAGCGGTTGAGCATCGACCTAGGATCCAGGAGATTGCGGTTCGATTCCCGGTCAGGGCACATGCCCGGGTTGCGGGCTCGATCCCCAGTTGGGGGCCTGCAGGAGGCAGCCGATCAATGACTCTCTCATCATTGATGTTTCTGTGTCTCTCCTTCTCCCTTCCTCTCTCTGAAGTCAATAAAGATATATTTTTAAAAATAAATAAATAAATAAATAAATAAATAAATAAATAAAAGATGAGTTGATTTAACAGAATTACTGAGTAAGTAATAGAGTAGTTATACTTGGATATCGCAGAAATGATGAAGATGGTTCCTGAGCGATTGATCTTTGGGTAGCTTTAGTCTAGAAGCTTGGTGGGATTTGGAGCAGGTCATAGTAGCTGGGAAGGACCTCTGAGGTACCTTTAGCCCTAGACAAGAGTGCACGTAGAAGGCACAGCTCTTGTGTTTGCCAGGCACCCCGGATCAGACCAGGGGTGTCCAGCACCACCTTGCACTGACCAGATGGGAATACAGACGAAACTCAAGGCCTAGGGTCCTTTATCTCTCACTCAGTGCTCTGTTGGGAACAGTTCAAGCACCCATATGCCCTGTAACTACTTAGAGGAACTGTAGGCAGAGAGCATTCTTTGGTTCCTTTCTCTGTGCCAGCCTTTAGCTAATTGTCCAATCTGTGAACAGCTTATTCAGGGAAGTTTGCGCTCCCCATAACTGTTTCTCTTGGGACACAATTACAGAGTCGAGTTCAATTCCTCGTGAGGTCAGGTTTTAAAAGATTTTTGCGTACACTTTTTTCTTCTGTCTTTCATTTCTTCAGTAACTTTCAAAATTATGTAAGTAATACAACGGAATTGGTAAGCACTCAGCATGTGGAGGGGGAATGCTTTGTGAATCACGGGGCTGTGCCTGCGCGAGGGCCTTGCGAATTTTCCCTGAGCCCTTCCGTTTCCCACACATGCTGCTAAAATAAGCACCTGTGTTGTTCTTCAGTTCATAGTCCCACTTTCTCTTCAGCCCATTTGTACTCCATCTTGACATTATACTCTGATTTTTATGGTCTGTGCTTATGCACCTGAATCCATCACCTTAGCCAAACTGTAGAGTTTAGTTGGGAAGGATTTCCTTGGAAATGAAACCCTTTAGTCTATTGATTGGTGTTACTGCTCCCCATGGAAAACCTTTCCTAGAAGAAGAGCCTGACATCACATTTTTGTCTACTGAAAAAGACAATCTGACAGTTAAAGGTATTAATATTTTAAAAACTCACCTTTATGGAGATTTATAAGTTGAGGAAGGGTAATAACTGGCCCTATTGTAAAGAATGACATCTATGAAAAATTTTGTCATATGCACACAAAACTAAAATATATAAATGGTAGTGTTTGTAGCATTATTTATAATTGCCTAAACTGAAAGCAGTTTAGGTGTCCCTCAGGATAGTTTATAAGTAGTACCATTATTGAGCCAGTGGAATAAAATTCAGCAGTTAAATATGTTAGATTTATGTGAAAAAAAAATGGGGAAAGACAAAATACAGAAGACTGTGAATAACATGATGCCACTTGTATTTTAAAAAATGAGGAGGGGACCCTGACCAGCGTGGCTCAGTGATTAGAGCGTCAGCCTGCGCACTGGTGGGTCAAGGGTTCGATTCCTGGTCAGGGGCTAGTACCTGGGTTGCAGGTCTGATCCCCACGCCCACTTGGGGCGTGTGTGGGAGGCAACCAATCAGTGTGTCTTTGTCACATCGATGTTTCTCTCTCTCCCTTTACCCCTCCCTTCCACTCTTCCTGAAATCAATGGAGAAAATATCCTCACTTGGGTGAGGATTGAAAAAAAAGTGAAGGAGGAGGGATAAAAGGGTAGAAGGATGCTGCCAGTGACAGCTGGCTGTTTATTCTGGGAAGAGGTCCAGGAGAAAGAGAAAGGCCTTTAATTATTTTAAACTGTATAATTTTGAATTTGAAACAATTCTGTGTGATAAATATTAGTGATTCAGACATGTTGAGAGACAGTGATAAACAGTCACATCATTTTCTCTTCCCCTCAACCCGCACACCCCTCCAGCCCCCAGCCTAAACCTAATAGTGATGCTCTTCGTGAGTATTAACCAGGTATCTTCGCTTTCCCAGGGGAATGGCTTTTGAGAGAGAACACATATCAGTGAAGTGGCCAAAAGGTTGGCAATGGAGGGAAAAACAAAGACTTTGCCCAGACCAGAAGTGAAGACCCTGTGCTAAAATTCTTTCTTCAGTTATTTCAATTAGCCACTTAAAATAATTCAGATAAATGTAATGGCATTTTCCTAAAGACGAATTGGGTTTGGTTTTCCTAGAAAATTATTCCATTTGCCTTTTGTTCCTATAGAGAAAACAAGGCTATTAAATCATCCTCATTTCCATGGCTAGTTTGAGGGTAGAGGCTTTGGGTTATTGATGGAGTTTTTTTTGAAGAAGTCTTTTGCCTTCTTGGAAAAGAACTACATGTGCCTGCATCCCCCAGTGCCCAGGAGTTGCATTTGACACCTGGATTAATAGATCTCACTTTTACTCCCCACCTTTTCCAGTTGCTTAGCATTTTAAATTTACCCAATAGCATTTTACTTATTTTTTTTTAGTACTTCGGAAGGTTATTTAAAATTTTGAGGTACCTCAGTTTTTAAATCAAATACCTTTTCTACATACAAGTATCATTTAAATATTTAATATAAAATTTAGTAATGAATATTTTCCAGTCCCCGCCATGCTCCTCCCCCCTCTCCCAGGCCTTCTTTTAGTGTCATCGACCTGTCCTTCATTTTGCCTCTGAGGTTAGCGCTCTGGGTGTCTGGGAGCTGTATCTGGAGATACTTTATGCCAAGTAACAGCTCTTCTACCAGCTTTCGTACACGGTTGAGTAGGATGTTTTTTCAACTGTATTTCTGTTTTTTGCTACCACCCAAGTTCTCCCTCTGCATCTTTTCCTCCTAATCTGAATTCTCTGGTAGTGACTGTGCTCATTTGTTTCAGATGGAGACTATTTTACCTTCACACGACATGAACCCATTGGAGTGTGTGGACAGATCATCCCAGTGAGTGTATCTCCTCGTGCTTCGTATTTATTTTCATTTGAACCAGTTCTCTTAAAGATACATAAAACATGGATCTCAGCGATGTGTGTTTTCCATTACTGGGGAAAAAAACCCGAGCTCATGTTGTTGACATATCTTTAACAGCCTCCCTGCAAATGCTTATTTGAACAGGTTAATAGGGTTTCAGCTCCGTTACCAGGAGTTGAGTTCTCAAGTCATGGAATTCTCATGATTAAAATAAGCAAAGCCAAGCCCAATGTATTAATAACCTGCCCTTGGTTATGGATGTCCATTCGGCTTATGGAAAATTAATGCTTTGTTATATTTGCTTGTTTATTTTTTAAAACTGTGACTCACCATCTTTCCAGGCATATTGTTTTATATGGTCTTTTAATCCCATTCTTTCCCACTGTTTCTTTTCACAAGAGTCCAGATAGAAGACTCTACAGAAGACACAGCAGTACCATTAACGTCACGCTCATAATTGAAACCATGCCGGGCTGTTGTGTGTCTTGTAAAGGGAAATAGATGTAGTGCTTAGTGTTTGGATTGGAACATTAAACATTGTCTTTTTTTTCTGTCTCCCTCTCATACACAGCCTTGGCATTATACAAAACACCATCGAATCTTCCAACAGTGCTAGCTTATCGTGCTGGCCAGGATTTCAGGGGAGGCCCAAACTAAACTCTTCCACTGTAGACAAGGAGTTTTTTCTTTTCAAAATATAGAATGAGTTAAGATGATCTTTGGCCTTAGGTGGGGGGGGGCAAAGATTTTTGAGAGGCATTAATGTTCTTTTCATGAGCCGCAGACTCCTGGTTACTGTGAAATTTATTAGAGAATGAAAATGGAAAATGAGAGGTTTGGTTTAAGATCTTCTGCTCCTAAACCACCCAGGGAAACCCCACTTGGATCAGAGCAGGGGTGAGGTCTGTCACCCTAATTGCAGGAACTGAAACCTGCTCTCCCTGCCCTTCCCAGACTCTTGGAGCTGCAGCTTTCACTGACAGGACAAGAGCTGCTTGTCAGCCAGCTCCACTCAGTTACCGCGCTCCAAGATTTATATGCTGTAGATGGAATTGAAACATCACTGTGGACTCCCAAGTTTATAAACAACTAAGGGGAAAAGAAATTGGGTGTTTGGTGAAGGCAAGACACTTGTATATTTTTGCAAGCTTGCCAGGGCCAGTGAGAATCTTTCAAGGATGGCAGCTGAGATGCTTCAGGCAGAAACACATTGTGGCCGGGGGCTGAAGTGGGGACCAAGATTTCTGTTTTCTTTTTTAATGAAATTATCGACGACACCTGATAGTCCTGAAGCTCATGCCTGCGCTTGTGACAATGCAAGCTCCAAGTCCTTTTAAATTCACTTTATCACTTTAAACCTTTTTTAGTCCCAAATTCAGATGCTCACATATATTTTTTAGTCTCCTTTAGCTTATTTTGCAGTGGAAAGGAAACAAACTAAAATTTTTGCATATTCAAAAAGTAAATATACACACTATTTTATATCATCATGTTTTTGTGGTAATACATGTATGTAAAGAAAAGGCACACCCTCGAAATAGGCTTTGGCTTAAATATAATTCACAGCTGGAATTTTCTCTCCAGGTTCTTCCACACTGGAGAGCTTTCATAGTAGTCTGAATTCCTGGTGTAAAAATCACAAATGCAAAAAAAAGTTTTCATACACAGAACTTACTGGAACCAAAGTCTAGTTTTAAACACATATAAAATAACAACAATGAAAAACCAAACCAAACAAAGGAAAAACAAAGACTCCCTTTGCACTGTGTGATTTCTTTTGCTGGGTAGTTGTAATATAATAATTTGAATTCTCAAGGTCAGTCCTATTTTATTCTTAATGAAGTAATTTAAAAATCCAAACATCTATACTTTGTGGTGGGACAAGATTTATGTTGAGGACTAGTCTGAGAAATCTGAGAAGTCACAGCTTGAAAACAAAGTAACGGAGGGATATTTTTCCATCTATCAACCTGGGGTTTTTTCCTTTCAGTGGAACTTCCCCCTGCTGATGTTTGCCTGGAAAATTGCTCCAGCTCTGTGCTGCGGCAATACAGTAGTTATTAAACCAGCAGAGCAAACACCACTCAGCGCGCTCTACATGGGAGCCCTCATCAAGGAGGTAAGAGAAGCTCCTTCGGGAGTGGCCCCCGCCCCGCACGGTTGGGGCCTACTGGAGCATGTCTGATTTAACGTGCTTCTTCAGCTCTCACGAGCCACGCTTCCTCCAATTCTGTTTTGTTAGGCTGGCTTTCCACCAGGAGTCATCAATATTTTGCCAGGATACGGGCCAACGGCTGGGGCAGCAATAGCTTCTCACATTGGCATAGACAAGATTGCATTCACAGGGTCTACTGAGGTAGGTACCTGGGAAACCATGGTTGAACAATCCTGCAAATGAGTAGAGGGTTTAAAAGAAAATGGAAAGCCCAGCTGGTGTAGCTCGGAGGTTGAGCATCAACCTATGATCCAGGAGATTGAGGTTCTATTCCCGGTCAGGACACATGCCCGGGTTGGAGGCTCAATCCCCAGCAGGGGGCGTGCTGGAGGTAGCCGATCAATGACTCTCATCATTGATGTTTCTATCTCTCTTTCTCCCTCTCCCTTCCTCTCTCTGAGATCAATAAAGATATATTTTTTTTTAAATTAAAAAAAAAAAAGGAAAATGTTGCTCAGAGGCTGGACACGAAGGGAGCAGTGAGCACCCAGCCCTCGGAGGTCAGCATTGGCATCATAGCTGGAGCACTGGCAAATCTCAGAGTAAAGGTGCACACCATTGAGGCCACAGACCTCTGACCTTTTCTGTGATGCCATCTGTGTAAAACCTGTCCCAGAAAAATAAAAGGAACACAGAGGCAAAAAGAAACACAAAACTGTTTCAGAAGAGACTTTCCCAGTGACTGGGTTTCTGAACATTTTCTTGAGTCAAGAACAATAATGGCAGAAACAAGAAGCTGGAAATTAAACTAATCTCTCGTAGAGATTAAAATGGGAAGCATTCCATTCTATTTCCTCCAGATCCTGTAGATGCAACTGGTGGCTAACTTTGCCCATGAGTTGTGAGGGATGATATGGAGCAGGGTCAGCAGCTTTTTTCTGTGAAAGGCCAGGTGATCAGTAGTGTAGACTTTGCAGTCAGAACAGTCTCTGATGCAGCTACTCAGCTATGCCCTTGTAGCACCAAGTAGCCTTGGGTGATGTATAAGCTGAGCGGGCTACGGGCCCATGGAGCTTTATTTAAAGATACCGAACTTTGAATTTCATATAATTTTTACACCTCACAAAATATTCATCATCTAAAATTTCTTTTCCAACCATTTAAAAACACAAAAAACTGTTCTTAGCTTGTGATCCATACTAAATAGGCAGGAGGCCAAATTTGGTCTCTGAGACATAGTTTATTGATCCCTGCCTGATACAGACTCACAAGCCTGCTTAGAGCAGTTTCTGATAAAATGTTACTCCAGAATGTCTTGGATGGAGGTAACAGAGGTGAAAAAATAGAGCCTGGTTCACTTTATCAAATGGAACTTCACAGATGAAGTTCAGCATTGAACAAAGGCTGCTTGTGGCTCTAAACAGTGCTACCTAATAGAAGTATAATGAGAGCAACATTTGTCATTTAAAATTTGCTATTAGTCACATTAAAAAATTTAGGTGAATTAATTTTAGTAATATATTTTATTTAATCTGTTATTTCCATATTATCTTTCAATATAAAATGATCAATATAAAAATCCTTTATGATCAATGTAAATATCATTATCACAGTACTTTGCATTCTTTTTTCATTATGAAGCCTTTGAAATCTGGTATGTAGTTTACATTTACAGCACATCTCAATTCACGTTTCAACTTGCTGGTTCTCTGTATTGGACAGCACAGGTTTAGGGACTTGAGTGTATCACCTGATACAATTAATGATTCTTGGTTAAACTGGCTCATGTTAAAACATTTCATAAGAGATTGATTAATAAACCTGAGTGTTAATTTATACTTACAGATTATTAAGTTTTATGTTTGTCAACCTTTTATTTTAGTTGTACTAATTATAGTAATTTTGAAATTTCGATGAACCATATAAACCAAAATGTGACCATAAAAGAGAATTATTGTTTCTATTTCAACTAAGTCTAATGCTTTGAAAAGATTTGCTAAGGGCTAGATGCTTAGCAAAACTGTAGTCAATGAAGAGTGGGCAAAGCAATTGTAAAAGATTGGGGAAAGAATAGAAATCTAGATAGATTGTGCACCTGGATTGCTTTGCAAATGCAATTTGCATTTTAAAGAAACTGAAACCAGAAATCTTAAACAATATTTTAAGGGTATGGTTTAATCAGAAAGCACAGGTGGACCCATAATTAAAGTCCTTGGTCCTATATCCAAAGACTGGAGAATTAATGTACATATTTTTAAAAGTAAAATGAAGTACTTAAAGTATCTTTCCTTATGCTTTAACCTTTTTTTCATGAACCAACCAGTGGTCCTGATTGAGTCAGTTCAGAGGCTTGGACTGTAGAATTTTTAAAAATAAAAATGAGATGATAACATATAAAGTGAGATGGCGTACTTTGCATGCCAGTCTTTATAGATGGCCTTCGTTCCAGGAACAGCTGAGGAGAGCACTCCTGCGTCAGTGCGCCATAGGTTAACCCTCATTCTTGCGCACTTCACACGGTTCTCACTTTTTTACACAGACGATTGAAATAAAAATTCTTGGAGCTCCAAGACGAATGTATATATGTTGTTCTGTTGGACATGTTTTAGAAGTGGAATTGCAAAACAAAAGGATATTTACATGCAGACTTGCTTATCACCAAGAATGCATTAGAGTGATGGTTTTATTTTTGAGATCTCTTTATGTATTAAGTATATTAATCTTCTGTTTCTCGTAGAATTTGCAGATATTCCCAGTTTGTTGTTTGCTTTCTAATTAAAAAAAAAACTGAGTTGTCATGCACAGGTTTTTAGTTGTATATAGTCATATCTTTCAGTCTTTCTGTTAATGGCTTCTGGGCTTCCTGTCATCCTTAAAGAAACCTCTTGGAGATCATCTAAATGATCCTTAACATTTTCTTTCAGTACCTTTATGGTTTTGTTTTTGTTTAAATCTTTAATCTGGTTGGGATTTATTTTCATATATAATGAAAGATGAGGCCTAAGTTTATTGTTTTTATAAATGAGTGTTCAGTTCCTTCTGCACCATTTATTAAACAATCTATCCCTTTGCAACTCATTTGAATAAAACATTAACATTATATGATAAGTTTCCATATATGCATGTTTCCCTTTTGAGACTCAGAATGTTATCTGTCTGTCCTTTCACTAGTGCCAGATTGCTTTAATTACTAGTTTTTAAAAGATGTGTTGCAGTGTGGTAGGCAAGATACCCTGTTATTCAGGTTTTCAAAACCTTTTGGCTATTCTTGCCCAGTCTTTCAGATAAAATTTCAAATCTATTTTTTAAGCACCTTTCCTTCTTCCCCCAAATCTCTCATTGGACTTTTGATTGGTGTTACATTATCTGTCTGTATTAGATGGAGGGTAAGTGCTTTCGCTACAAGATTGACTTCCCGTCTAGGAACATGGTGTAAATCTCTTATTTGTCTTGTCATGTTTATCACTGATGTCGTCATAAAGGTCTTACACATTTCTTGATCCATTAATTTCTAGGCATTTAAGTTTCTTTTCCAAAGATATTTCAGTCTAAAACTGAGCAGTTTTTTTTTTTTTTTTTTTTTTTTTTTAAGTCACAATATCATGTATTGGAAACTTAACTGAATGGGTGACCTGATCTTTCAGGCCAGACAAGCTGTGGCCTAGTGAATCAGTAAGAACATGCTTGTTTGGAGGCTGCTTGGTTCAAATCTGTTTTGATATTTAAGACCTTTTTATTTTTTAACTTTAATAAAGACTTTATTGAAGTATCATTTACATACAATAAAATGCACCCATTTAAGTACCAAATGTATACACTCATGTAACCATCACCCAGATCAAGGTACAGAATTTTTCCATATCCTAAAAAGATTTCTTACGTCTCTTTGTGGCTCGCACCCTTGGCCCCAGCCAACCGATGCTTGTTTTTATTAATTTTGCTTAGTCTAGAATTTCATTTAAATGGAATAATACAATATGTACTCTTCTGTATTCATTTTTTATTGTTGTTTAATATTTAATGAGTGATTGATATGGTTGCATTTCAATGTCCCATCTTGATTTTTGTTTTCAGCTTGTCCCATTGGTGTTTTGCTCCTTTTTCCGCCTTTTCCATGAATTGAGTACTCTGTTTTATCTTCTATTTTGGATTATTAGCTATACCTTTTTCAAGTGGTCACTTCAGTAATTACAATATGCATATTAATCAGTCTATCATTAAATAGTATTATGTTACTCCACATATAGTGTAATAACTGTACAAGAGAATTCTTCCATTTCTCATCTCGTCCTTTACACTATTTTTGTCTTACAATTTACTACTACATATGTTCTACACCCCACAGAACCTTGCTGCTCTTTTTGTTCAGTCAGCTTTTTGAAAGCATTTTAAAATGAGAAAACTTAATTATTTTACATTTACTCACACACTTGCCATTTCTGCCCCTCTCCTGTTTTTGGTATAGGCCCAAGTTTTTTTCTGATACGATTTTCCTTCCATGTAAAGATCTTTAACATTTCTTATACTGCAGGTCTGTGAGTGATTAATAGTCTCAGCTCTTGTTTGTCTGAAAATGTTTTTATCTCGTTTTTATTTTTTATGACTTTTTTTCTGAATATAGAATTCTGATTCAACAGTTTTTCATTTCTTTTACTTCAACACTTTAAATATGTCATTTGGGTTTTTTTCTGATTTACACTGTTTCTAATGAAAAGTTAGCAGTCATTCTTATCTTTGTTTTACTGTACATACTGCTTTTTTTCTGGCTGCTTTTAAGATATTCTATTTTTCCTCGTTTTCAACAATTTGATTATGATGTGATTCTGTGAAGTTTTTTCCCCTAATTGAGGTTCATTGAAAATTCTTGGATCTATGAGTTTATAGTTTTCATCAAATTTGGAAAACTTTGACCATTATTTTCTTCATATATGTGTGTGTATGTGTGTGCGTATGTATATATGTATATATATACCTTTTTCATGTCTGTTAACTTTTGAAAGGATGCTGAACCTTGTGACCATTATGGTATTGAACACGTGGGTTTATTGTTACTCTTTAAAGAGTGCTGGGTTTTTTCCCCCCCTAACAGGTGGTTAAGTACAACTTGATCTTTTTGATACTCAACTTTGAGCTTTGTTAGGACTAGTTTATCTTTTACTAACATACAAAATTCACTAAGATTACTAAGTTGAGATCCTTCT